GTATATGCTGTTTCAGACAGTAAGTGTTGACAATTTGTGGATCCTTCTACTGCCTTCATGAAGGGCTAGTGTACTACTTGTATATGTATATGCATATATATATATGTATTCGCCTGCCGTAGAGGAAGTGCTGATATGTTCCTTCACATGCTGTGATTTGTGGGCAGAAAGTTAATACATATTTTACAGAATTGAATTTTTTTTTTGGCAGAACCAGAGATTGAACTCAGGCCCTTGCGTTTGCTAGGGAAGCGCTTATTCCACTGAGCCATCTCCCCGCCCCCCAGAACTGAATTTAAATTAAATTTAAAATTTCTTTTAGGAATATTGATTTTAATTTAAGATAATTAAATATTCACTCCTAAACTGAACAGAGACTTTCAGTTCTATTTTATAAACTGAAAGTCAGATCTAAATTTGGATCTTGGTTATGCCACTAGTGAGTTTTGTGACCTCTTATCATTTATATAATTTCTGTAACTCAACTGCCTGATCTGCAAAATGGGTACTTCCCAACTGGCAATGTGGCTTAAAATGAGATATCACTCCATATACAGGAGGTTAGCAGCCTTTGGCGCAGAGAGGGAACTGATTAAATGTGAGTTCCCTTCCCCATGTCCCTTGTGCAACATAATATAATGTGATATTTAGAATTTTAATTCAGGCAATTACTTAAGTAGTAATTGCTATTTGTATTTACATAGCTGCTTTGATCCAAGAAGCTCAAAGGGCTTACTAAATTTAGCATTTTAATAAATGTTTCATTTGCATTCTGTTGATTCTGTTTACCCACACCAAAACTTGGAATTTTTAAAGCAAGACAGTCAGAAAAAAAGGAAACAAGACAAAAATCTCCCTGTTTAGGGGCATCCGCGGACAGAGTTTCTGTCTATTTACTTAAAAGGTCAAGACTCCTCCTTCCTGTGAAACACAGCGTACGGAGCGTGAATGCACCTGCTTCCTCTCACAGTGCCTTCTGGCTTCTGCCTGCCCACTCGACCCCTGTCGCACACTCTGAGGCACTGACAGCAGAGGTATGTTTACTGCACCAATGAATTTATACATAATCAGCACAATGAGCATTATTAAATTGTCAGGTGAAAGTCAAAGCACACAGCGCAGCACCAGTGCCGAATTCCAATGATGTGGAATGTCCGTGAGTGCACAGAGACAGGCAGGATCTTAACAAGCCTTGATATGAGCGCTGGCATCCGCCTCACAAATCACATGGGCCGCTCCTCCTGTAACGCTGCTGAATATTGATAACTGTCTCTACCCTGTGCAACAGCGAAGTGGGTTCCTATTGGCAATCCTTACCAAAGTGTGTTTTTTCCCTTCTCTACACTCAAGGGTTTACCCTGAATGATTTAATTATAATTTTCCTTGTGTAAGACAAATTAAAGAGGAGAGTAGGAGTGTCGTGCCAAGCACATTATTTATCTCCTTAACAGATTGCAGTTCACCAAACCCCAGAGCTGCTGCTGTGGCGGCTGCTCGCAAGGGCTGCAAAAATGCATGGGGGTGAGTGAGAGATGCAGTTCTCCACGTGGCAAGGAAATCTACAACTTGGTGCAGGAATCAGACACATCGATACTTCAAAAATAAACAAAAATGCTCGTAATGCTACCTTTCCCCTCCCACAGTTTCTCCTACACCATTCCTGGATCATTTTAGGAAAATCCTGAAAGCTGCCAACTCAAGGAGGAGCTGCAGGGCCTGAGGCTTGCCTAGTTACTGCTCCCTGAGAATCCAGGGAAAAGACCACCCAGCAATCCAGAGAAGCTGGCACGGTCATATACATCACCAACAACCTGGTAAGGATGGCAAAGCACTTCTCTAAGGCAGTTACAAGAACGTCCTGCTCAGTGTAAGCGAGAACATGCCGCTGTAGCAACAACTTTCTCCTGCTTGCTCTTCTGGGTATCACACACAGAAATAGTAAATTAAACCTCATAAGGTAATGATGGCATTTAATATTTAAGTCCCTGTACATGTACCAAAAAATGACTACCAATTCATCTTTGTATGATGAATTGAATGGTAAGCTTAAAACTGAATTATTTTTAACTTCTGAAGAGTTTGTCTTGATGGATCCATTCAGTTAAGACGTGTAGGGTAGGGGTTGAAGCTGTAGCTCAGAGAGCACACTTATTTTGTATGCAAGTCCCTAGCTTCAACTGCCTGTACAAAAACTAAGGTAAAATAAAATAAAATGTGCTAAATAGAATTTTCTTTCACTCCAGGAATGTGTAGGAACCTACCAGGTAACACAGACTGAGAATCAAGAGATTAAATAATAGTGTGCAATTTCAGAGCTGCTTTCTCTTTCAATGTACAACTGGAGAACTTAGCCTGTTTTTACCTCCACATTAACGCTCACTGGGATCTGAATTCTCTTCTGGAACCATAGTCTAATCTAGGCACACAGTATAATGAAGATTAAGTATAACGTTTGTACAGACAAATAAGGACCATTAAAAAAAAATCAAACAAACTTAGTCTCCTAGAATTAGACTGTCCCTTAGATCCATTTACTTCCAATTGTACCTTAAGATATGAAAAGAGCTATTCTTCTTCTGCTAGGCTCCTTGCTAGTCTCCCACCCGACTATAGTCTGTAACCTTTCGCCATGAAATTGAGCATGGTGCGTCTAAACAAGAAGAGCTTTCCATGTCACAGGAAATCTGCGCAGGCTCCACGAGGAGGTTGCAACAAATACCTTAAGTGCACCAGTCGGCCATTTCTCAGTGCACAGCCCCCTGCTTTACTTATGGATAAAGAGGTAATTCAATCCCTCGGCAGCCCAGGGACAGCCCCAACCTCTGGACAGGAAAATCAAGCACGGCAAATGATGACAGCCTAGAACCTCTCCTTTAAAGCTATTTCAGAGTTTCTATTTTGAAAAAAACAAAACAAAACAACAACATGAATATATCGTAAGGAATTCCGAGTAAGAGCTCAGATTGGCTTCCAGACATACATAACTATCCCTACTGCAAACAAAAGTCACATTATACCCTGTAACTCCAAACTGTCTAGCACACTGCTCTTGTCTACTGTGCTATTGTTGAAATTCTTTTAAACCACTAAGTTTAAAGTTTACAAACAATTTAAAAGTCCCTCAATGTCTGCTATTTTTTAAATCTTAAAGAACTGAATTACAAATTTTTGTTAAGTCGTGTATTATCCTCATCTCTGATAATCTACTATGTTTTTCATGCTCATATGTGGCTATCCACTTATATCTGTCTATACATGTATACATACACTTATGTATTTCTTAACTGAGATATGTCATAAGAAACGTGATTTTAGGAAACTTTGCTGATTATCAGAGTATGCTTACACTGAACTGAATGGTCCAGCTTGACACACACCTAGGCTCCTGGAAGGTGAGTGTGGGTGTGGGTGTGTGGGTGTGTGGGTGGGTGTGTTACAGCCTAGCTCTCCTAGGGGCACCATGAACAAAACAGCATGAGATTAAATCAAGCACAAGACCAATGATGCAATCAAGATCCGAGGCAAACATGTGATGCGCGAGGCTACCACCAGCCTAACACAGCAACTATTTACAGTCAATGTTTTTAATAGGTAAACTCCAGCGATTCGAAGCCCAGTAAGTATATGAACCAGTAATGTGCTTGTTTATTGTCATTATTGAGTCTTATGTACTGCACATAATTGCATGTGCTATTCTTTCACACAACTGACTGCGCAGGCTGGTTTACCCCAGTGTCACCACAACACTGAGTAATGCTCCATGCTATCACGTCATGGTGGCTCCAGCGTCACTAGGTAATGGGAGTTTTTCAGCTCCATTATAATCTCATGGGACCAGCACTACATACGAGGGCTGCTATTGACAAAAACAGTCTTTGGAACCTGACTTTTGTACATGCAGATATTTTTCTGACATAGTGACACATAGCTAATTAAACCCTGGTATGTGAGATATGTATGAAATTATATTTTAACTGCTTAACTAAATTTCTGCACTTGGTTATTTCTACTTATACACAAAATTTGCTTTTTCCTGATGGAAATGGCATTTACTATCATATACTACTTTTAAGGTTTCTTCTCTCCTGTGTTTGGAAGCTCTGCATATGAAATACATAGAAAACAGTTTAAAAATAGTAAACTGAAAACAAGTTGTCAATTTTAGGAGCATTATATATTCCACTTTCGAAAAGCATTTGAATAGTGGTACTAATGCTTCTGGGTGCTAAGATTCAGTAACGTGAATCAACAGCTTTATTTTCTTAGAATTCCACATTAACATGATATGTTCCAGATCTCTAAATCAACCTCAGCTTCAACTAACATTCATGTGAACCTCAGACCAATTAGGAGCTATGAAATCCTGTCTTCCAGGGGGGAAGACAGAGCTGAGACGAAGCTGTGATATATTCACAACCAGCAGAAAGCGTGGTGCAGGTGCCGCGTGCACATACAGCGCATGCTCCACCTCTCCCTTTCAGACCTCTGCTCAGCGCCTACACAGAAAATGCCATGTGTTTTGGGACACATGATGGAGAAGATGGGCTCCTTGCCTTCAAGGGGGGCAGTATAGACTAACATAAGTTCTATGTTTTCTCAAACCACGATCCAAAATTGCCCATAGCAGACACTACTGTTCCCCAAGAAGGTGCTCAGAGCCAAGGAATTCAGCTTGTACAGAGCAAGCACTTGGCGGAGGGAGTCAGCCTGGGAGCTTGAAATCCAAGTCATCCACCGAGAAACTCCAAGACTTCTGCCCAGACGCCTAAGCTAAGGGTAGATCTACATAAGCGCTAATTCCATATTGAAAAGGTGAAAATAATTAGATGCTTCATACACAAACCATACAAATTTGTTCATAAGTAATTACAGGCACATTCAGGGCACATGAATCCAACTTGAAATCACTAAGACACGGTCAGGCCATACCTGGGCCACCAGCCCCTCCCAGGTGAAAGACAACAATGGCTACTGGACACACAGCCACAGCTCCTCCCTACCTTTCCCTCTTGGGAGTGTGGACCGACAGCTGTCCATTGGTAGAGGCATGCGGGTTCATTATCAAGGAGGTCTTGGAAGGTGCAGAGGAAGACACACATGTCGTGGTCAGATCCAAACTGCTGTGATTGTTGCCTGTGGTTTCTTCTGCAGTATGAGCACTTGTCACTTCTTTCCAGAGCTGCTGCAGTTCTGTTGGAATCATGCCTGAAACAAACAAATTGGATAATTAAATCAATTAACAGCTAATTCCGTCCTCTTCAAACAGTAATTAAATCAAAGAGTCAGTAAACAAAGCCTAGTGTTAGGGGAGCTTTTTGGTATGTGCAGTTTTTTCCCCTCCTGACCAAGGCAAATACGGTAGTAACAGGCGCGTCCTCCTCCTGAGCGGCTGAGTTGTGGTGCCCTCACCGCACAAAACAGACATCCCTGAAAGGGATGCGGAGCACAGTTATGCTGCAACAACAGTATGCCTCCATTCATCTAACGCGCGGCTTCTCAAGTTTAGGAAAAAAATAGAGATGTTACTTTATTTTTAGACACACAGAAAGGCTCAAAATAAATTTGTTCTACTATATTCTCATGACAACATGAACCACAAAATGAATAATTTTTGTGCTTAAGTCTTAAATGATGACAAATAGCTTTGTTATTAAATATAGTTTTTATTAATCACTTTTAGACATAAATTATGAATTCATAGCATCTTCCTGAAATGCTTTTCAACTTTTAACAGTCAAATTGATTATACTATGATTATTTCATTAACACACCTATCTTCCTCATTAATTTTGGTTTCTAGTACCACATGCTTAATTGATGGATGTGTCTACTGAGAAACCGTATAACTTTTTATACAAGTAACACTATTATTACTGTCATTTCTTAGATCAATGCTAATGAACCATTGCAGAATAAAATGAAAATGTAAAATAAACTTGGAGTGATAAAGTTCTCCTGTTTTTTAAGGAGGTAAATAATGGACACAGGTTTTCAGGAGCCAAGTATTGTTTTTTATTTTTCCTGCAAAAGAAATAAGAGTCAGTGCGTCAATCTCACTGCTGTGGTCTTTATCCTGGCAGCATGCCTCTGTAGCCCAGGATTTCCAAATCCTACCTCGATGCATATTCTCATATAGATGCACCGAAGGAAAATGGTTCTGCAACTAACAACAGCAACAGCAGCGAACAGCAATAGCTTCCTGGGAGAGAACACTGAAAAGCAATCACATATCCTATATTTCATAAAGCAATTGACATTAGAACTGGTCACCTGGCTTTCAGTTGGTTGCTGCAAATAAACATAACACAGTTATTCTAGAAAGCCTGTCATTTTTCCTGTATATAGCAGCAGCCAAAACAGGCATGTTTCTTACCAAACCGAAGGTACTGAATTAAAAAAAAAGGCTGTGTGTATTATATTCATTTGAAACACATAATAAAAAATGCCAAGGTCTAAATTTAATTTATTTTTGTCATTTAGAATACAATGGATAGATAATCATCTCAACGTGATCAGCCAAACATCTTTACTTTGCTAAACTGTTAAAGATTTTAATTATGCCAGCATTGGAGAGCACTGGTCTAATGAGGCGATGGACTCCAGAGAATCCGAGTGGTTAAGAACTGTGAAATGAGTCTGATAGGATTTTTTTATATTCACCGTGGATCGTTTGCATATCAAAGAGGAGTAAATTATTGCACAGCAGACCAATAACCTTCCCCGCCTTTCTGCAAGGCGCCTTAACAAAAACAGTTGGTCTCTCCTAACGGCTCTGCACGAAAATGCTCAAATGCTCAAGTGTTTGCAATTAATATATATTATAAAGGAGACTTCAAATGATACATTAAGTGGTCAGATATTCTGAGAACGCATCTTCAACAGCCAAGTCAGTTTTCCACTCTCTTCATAAAAATCTGATGCCAATTATATTTTGATGGATTTTGTCCCAAATGAGCATTTAGTTATTAGGCATATTCAATTATTACTTGTCCCCTGAAATTAAATGCTGGAGGCAATTTAAACAAAGGGAAAGGTCATCATATATCCCATGTCCAGTTTTGCCACATCTGGGCCACTATTTTCAAACACCTTCAAAGGGACATGTGGGATGCACCTGTAGCATGGGGGCCTGGCACTACACTTTGTACATGGATAATAACCTGCGAGTCTGGCTGACCCTCAGACTACTGTTTGCCCAGTGGGCACAATAGCAAATGGCCCTGTCTGTTGATGATATATCATAGTGCTATAAAACTACACAAGTCAACACCTATTTTTATTTTCTATTGCATAAATGTACAAAAAGAACAAACCACCTAGTTTTAAATTCAAACTAATTGCTTTCTGGGCCAGCTGCATGGCAAGTACATGGTTCTAACAACTGTCTGAACACTTTCCCTCTAAGAACAGCAAAACCTCGAGGTTGTTTCAAAGTGTTCTGTTTACCCAGCAAATCAAGACAAAGGCAACACCCACCACTTGTTATACCTTGGGCACACTAATACTCCTCTCCTTTTTTTTTTAATTCCAGTAGGCTAGCAAAATTAGTAAGTCACCAAATGACATCATGAATAGTTTTGGGTCCTTGGAAAGGTAGGGCCAAAATGTTGGCTTTCCTTGGCCCTCTTTTTTCTCTAATTTTGGTCTGCAAACTTAGGTTGCTAACCCTCCAGAAGAGAAGCTTATTGTTATTACCATTCAACCTAGGCTGTCAAGCTTAACCTCACTATCTGTCTGAATATCAAACATCTTAGGCATAATATGGAACAGGTATTTTTCATCAAGTATTGATATGCTGAACTTTAAGTCCCTACAGAATATGATAAAAAACATTTAAAAATTAGAATATATTTTAAAAATGGGCATAAAGGGATTTCACTGACCTTATCAGATCCAAAAGCTACAACTCTTGTTGCATAGGTCTTGCTTTATCTTGGTCTTAACCATTCAGCAGAAAAGTATAAAAACGAAGTATAAGAAGTAAAGCCACGCTGTTATATAGGGGACTCAGGTCAACAATTTCTGACATTGCCAGTCAAGCGGAAGACCCAATACTATTATGGACTGCTGGACTCTTTTAGAATATTTTGCTGAGTTAACACACCTATAATATTCAAATAACGGAACTAAGCAAAAAAGGGGATACAGATGAATGTCCATTTTGTATCTGTGTATTCTAAATGGTTAGGATAGACATATAGTTACATTCTCTTAATGAAAAGAGGGATTTGTTCTAATAGAGTTTGTAAATAGGATATCATGTCCACATCTTGTACAGCAATTAACCACTAGGAAGAATGTATGTAATGTGTTAATTATTGAAGCTGTCCTACCAATTTGGTTTGAAACTGTCTCACCGCTATTTGTTTATCAATAAAATTATGTAAGAAAAAAATAGTTTTGGGTCAGACCTCAGCATGATAACTATACTTAAGAACATTCTCACCAGACTTAACTGAGTTCAGTCAAATCATTCCCTCTATCAGTGACATGCTCAGTGAATGCTACCTGGCAAAGCATGATGGAACTGGACAGCCAAGTGCTTGCAACAGAACTAAGACAGAAAAGTAAGCTAGTAACTCATCAGACTGCACTGATAGCCAATTTCTAGAAAGCATGCATTTCTTCCAAAATGGTAGCATCAGAATAATAGCAAGCTAAACAAATCCATTAGTAGGTACATAAAAAGCATGTAATTTTCTCATACCTAGAGTTTACATCTTTGAAAATTAAAAGGTCAAATTGACAGTGGAGGAATATTTCTGGGTGAAATTACTTGTTCTATGGAGGATCAAATGATGAAAGAGACCAGGGTGAAATATGCTAATTATGCAAAACAGAGAGAAGGCACTACATTTATACACAGTTTCAGAGTAAGTTAGCAAGGCCATGAACAGGTATGTAAAAGCATTTTGATGATTTTATTATGAAGTGAGCACTACCAGCACTTTAAACACATAACCTCTGTGCCTTGCTACATTTCTGTTTTCAGGACAACTGGTTCCTTCATTATAAAAGAAAATGCAGGCACAGGTTTAAAAAATGTATGTTGTGGGGACAGTTGATAGATTACTGTTCATGGAACTCAATTTTACAACCCAGGTATCACTGGCTCAAAGACAGAGCTGATCAACCTTTTTTGTCCTTGTACATCCATACCCAGGTGACCATGTTCAAGCAAGCAGAAAGTTGATTTAAACCTCGTAATGACATCAGTTTTAAGCCATCATCTCTCTGATAAAAAAGAATTGTGCTGTAGTCCAACACGACTGAATTCTCAAGCCACTTTGGATGACGAGGTAGGGGAAAGAAAACCATTCTCCTGATTCAGAAGGGATGGCAATCACAGTGTGGTTCCCTTTGCTACAAAAACTTGACTTCAGAAATATTTATACTGAAACGTAGGCCATCTTGGACACACATACACACACCACTCAGATTTTAAATATGCTTTTTCCTAATGTTGCAGGGCTAATAGTTACAGCAGACAGCTAAGCATATCAATCAATGCCATGACTAGTGAATTACCTACCGGTGTCTCTGATATGCTACAGCAGAGATTACACTTCATGCATCACCACATTCATTTCTTTCACATTACATATGAACTTGTCTTGTCACTGCCCAATTGCCCTCTTTTGGACAGCTTAACTGATGTACTATAACAATGAGCCTTAGTGAGCAAACTTAATAGTACAAGAATGGTGGGAAAAGTGAAGCTCTGAGAACAGCAGGTGTGTCAGAAGGGCCCGCCATGTATCCAACAGTGAACCAGAAGGTGTAATTAATGCGTGTTGTAACACTGTATAGGCTCAAAATGTGTAAGTTGATGTGTCCTTCCCTTTCCTGTTATGTTGATCAGTTACCAAATCTTTTATTTTGACAGCAATGGAGGAGATACTGACCACGTATCAAGCAGTTAAGCTGTCACGCAGAAAGATATGGAGGGTCAGGTGAAAAATTGAAGGAGATAACGGACTTGGTAGCAACACTGAATGCAAAAATAAAACATAAAAGCTGCGTGTAGTTGACTAAAGAGAGGAGAGTTATTCCAACAGGCCATATTAGGTCCACTTGGCACCACAAGTTAGTTGACAAATGACCATGCCTTACGCAACAAGGAAGAGGTCCCCCATTTGATAGCAACTAAATCAAGACATCCAAAGCTGTCGCTACTTGCCATTGAGGCTTAAAGCCACATATATCCAAAACTCTGAAGTGGAAAAAACTGTAGGCCTTGAGCAAGTAATTGCAGTAACACGCAGCTGGTCATCCTCTGGTACCTGTGGGACTGCCCTTCCCAATTCCAAGATCTGAGGGTGCTCAAGCACATATGTACAAATGGATGTGGACATTGTACACCACCTATGTATACCCTCCCACGCTTTAAGTCTCCTTTTCATTACTTAACCTGCCTAACAGGATGCAAATGCCACATAAATAGTTGCTATAATGTATTGAGGGAATATTCAGTGATAAAGTATCTGTATATACATAGCAGAAATGTACTGTTTTTTCTTTTTTATGTTAAATATTTTCAACCCATGGTTGGTTCAATCTGTGAATATGAAAGTCACAGATATGGAGCGTCAACTACACAGGACTGGAAAATGTCTCTTACAATGTAAGTATGATAGTTCTTCCTATCTGCTTCCCCCCCCTTCTTTTCAAGTTCTGAATAATATATCTGCTTTTCTATCATATGTGAAAGACTTGCCTAAACCAAGAGGATATCGTGAAAACACCTAGAGTTTCTCTTTCTTTTGACATCCAACACCCTTGGGATAAAATGTCAGTGGATTTTCAAAAGGACTTCATGAAATCTATGCATTCTTACTCCTTTTCAGGGAACTCTAATTTGCCAAGAACTAGAAACAGAAACGGTTTCTGTTCTGATGAGTGCACAACTAACTTACTCAAAAATCAACACAGCCACGCAAAAAGAAAGGAGAACAAAACAAAACAAAAAAAGAAACTCAAAAGATAACCTTGGGTTTTACAGTAGAAAGAGAATGACATTCACCATTTGCAGAAAAATAAACCTGAATTATTCCTACATTTTTTAAAATGGCATTTCTACCAAAAGCACTGCTGAGATTTAAAACACGTCATCTGATAAAAAATGTCTTGCAATGACTAATACCCTTCCAGAAAATTCCAAGTGGTTCCACACTATAATACTGTTAAGAATCCATTATAATGTCCAGTGAGTGCAAGGTAGCATCCTCTTCCTTCCCAACTGTGCAGCTCTGGGTGTACTCTGGTACTGGGAAGCATCTACATTCCTTCCCTCCACATTCGGACACCAACCACTTGAACCTTTGCAAGGGGCCGTCCTTACTTCTCTCGCTTACACTTCCTCTATCTCTGTTTTGGATGGGCAACGTCCTGGATGATCAGCTGGAATATGCTAAGTGCCACCCCACTCCTTTGTCCAGAGAATTCCCAGAGCTGCCTTCCACGTGACCAGTGCATACCTTGTGGGAGAGGTTGAAGGGGAAGGGCAGGCTGCCCAGGCTGAATGGTTAGGAGGCCTTGGCGCTGCAAAGACAGGAGGTGCTGCTGCTGTAGCTGCTGCATTTGCAAGAGCTGCTGCTGAAAAGCCAACTGCTGGGTAGCCACCTGCTGTTGCTGGAAGAGAGCAGAACACAAATGAGACAGTCACTCCCCAAAGCACGTTGTAAGTATGCACACTTCACAACCCACCATCATCCTTAAATACTGTCACTGGTCACCAGAGCTGTGTGGACGGCTCAGTGTTAAGACTTAAAAGGTACAGAATGCAACATCTCTGAAGGGAAGCAGATTACTTTCTGCTGTCTGCTCCCACTGGAAAAGCTTACCTCCATGGAGGTGCTTTCTCTATAGCTGGAAGAGCTTGACTTTGGTAGTCAATGCGCAAGCCTGGAGACTTTGAAACTTCTAATTATTCACACTAGACAGAAGACCACATGGCTCTGGTCTGAAGGGATTTGAACCCTGAACCTTTGAGGTGTAAAAGAAGGAGGTGCCTCCCTCCAGGCCTGCACAGGCAGGAGCCTTTAACTACTGTTTATCACTTCTGACATAAATAAATGAGAAAAAATCAGACCTTTGAAGAAGAAAAACTTCATCTAATATTGTTAATTAGCCATGACAAATGATGAAATAACATTGTAAATCTTTCATAGAAACAGCCACTAGATTTTAATTACACACATTCATAATTTAGCAAACAACATCACACTCGACTGTGAGTGTTAAATGTGAATGAGAGTGTCTCGGCTTCAGATGCCTTAACTTGGCTTTAGTCTCAGAAACCCCTAGGTCTGCCTGCTGGTCCTGCTTCCCCGCCAGCTTTGTTCTTGAAAAGAAGGGGCTTTAACCATATGATAAATATCTTTTTGTTGATTGGACAATGACAGGAGGAAAACTTTTGTTGTGTAAAACATCAATACAGCATTCCTGTGTTTAGCAGGCCCTGCTCCAGCCAAAAAAAGTTAATGTAGATTTCCTCAGTAATTATCTGAGTGATAGAAAGATAATTCAGCGCAGTAGTACAATAAATAGACGGAAATTATCTAATATCCTTAATCTGCTAGGAATCATATCGAGGTGGAGGTCTTGGCCATATTAGATCACTTAGAAAGGAAAATTAACTCTTCCCAAACTGGAACCAAAAAGCAGAAAGATTTCTTAAGAAGAAAGTTCCTAACTCTGGGTGTAATTTTTAAAATAATCAGAGACTTTTAGAACTAAAAAGAACCCCCAGTCCTGTCAGTGCATGTGTGCTCTGGTTAACAACTATGCTTTACAAACAACTGCATTCACTTAACCTGACACATGACCTTGATCTGATAGATTCACGAAATGGTACAGATACCAGGACCTTCTGATGCAAAGTTCAAAGGAAGAGAAAAATGGTGGTTTCCTTTCCATCTCTATGTAGTTTATTTTACAGTAAAAACCATCATTCTCATATTAGCAACCAATTTCAGACTTACTACCATGCCACTGAGAAAGTTAATTGAGTTTCACTCCAAAAAACAAATTCTATACCACTAACAACAAAAATTTAAATAAATTTAAATGAAAAGCCAGTGTTTTCATTTTAAGAACAGCATGCATAAAATGATCCAATTGTTTTCACCCTTTTCCAAGTTATCACATTAATGTAAAACCCAGTGATAGTTATATTCATGTCAAAATGATTTTTTCACTTCTTCAACACACATTAACTCGAGACATTAAAACAGGTAAGGAAAAAGAAAAAAATAACATCAGCATAATAAAAGATCAGGGGATTAGCTCTTCTTGAAGTTGAATATGATGGGGGATTGGGAGGTTTTGGAGAGGGTGTTTCCTGTCTTACTGTAAATGAAATGTTTAAAAATTGTGTATTTATACAAAATGACTGATACCTTTTCTGTTGTCTTTGTGGCCATCCCTAGGAAAAGCTCATGAAAGCTGTCCACGTTTGAAAAGCCAGGATATAAAAGTATACAAGGTCCATTGTCCAAAGAAAGAATTTAAAAGCAACATTGGTTGCCAAACTGTGCTCCCCACCCAGTTACCAAACACAGGATACGAGTTCGTTTGTTTACTTCTCACAATTGAATGCATACAAAAAAGGTCTCCACACAGTCTCCTGACAGGTCAGTAGTCAGTGTTAAAATGCTAAAATGCCCTGATAAACCCTGCTTTTTGGATCCCCTCCCTACTGCTGCAGTCAAAGGTCTGTTTTCCTTTCTTTGGCTACACCCTACTGCCTAACATAAACTGTCATAACTGCCCAGGACAAATGGCTCTTTTAAAACAATCATTTTAGCCTACTTCACCCACACAGGATGGCATCCTTTTTTTTTGGGGGGGGGGTAGCTTGATTCAAAATGAACTCTTCTATTTTCTATACCACTTTCCTCCCAATATGAAGGAGGAATGGCTTCAATGGCTGTGCTGGGTTACAACTCTCAATAAACATCTTCAAAGCAAGGTCTTAGGTCTAAGCCATGGTAGAGCCAAACTTTCCCATGAAAACATCTCAAGACAACTTTAGGCCAAATGACAGCAAAGACGCACGGCACTGGCCGAGTCTAGTGTTGTATTTCAGAAGTAATCAAAACAGAGTAAAAAGAAGGGAGGAAAAAACTGATGTAAAATTATAAGCCAGTAGTGACTAGAAATTCAGGAAATTAATATACTTGTTCCATCTGTCAACATTCAAGTTTGAACGCTGTTAAAACCATAATCACTGGGGCTGGTGAGATGGCTCAGTGGTCTAAAGCACCTACTTAGAACAAGCTTAGCAAAGCAAAGGGACCACGGTTCAATCCCCAGCACCACATGCCAGCCAGCCCCACCCCCTGGTGGGCTGAGCTGGCCACACACACACACACACACACACACACAAATAAATAAATAAATAAAAATTTAAAAAAAAAAAATAAAACCATAATCACTAGGCCACATCATGAAAATGGCACCACATGACTCCTATTTCATTTGGGCATGAAGGACCAAAACCTGCGTAATTCCGGGGGGCCTCCAACTCACAGGTACCAGGAACACTGTGCGAGCCAAGGACAGCCATCCACTGTGCTGCTCTGTTTCCTTCTTAGGGCTATAAAGGCCACACACACCCTGGGTTCGCCAGGCCTCATGAACAGATCACAAAAACATGGACCACAGCAAAACTAGTGTCCTGGAGGTGCTAAGACTGCTGCTAGTGTCTTGCTCTTTCCTCCTGTAAACACCTTATATTCTCCTTCTGCCCTCAGTCCCTTCCCAATTCCCATACTGCCATCATCTGTGTTTCCCTTCCTGACAGCAGCAATTTGGGAGAGGTAACTTTTATCCTTCTTTCTGCTGTGTAACTTTCCCCTTCGCATTTCTTCATCGGCCCTTGGAGCTCATCTGAACTTTCATGTTCTCCCAGCATGCAGACGTGCATTCCAAACTATGTCTAACAGACCAAATAAGAGGTTAATAAGAAGTGGCAACAGAAAGGAAAAACACAATCCCTGGTAACTGATAAGAATGACAGTGGCAGCCCTTTTTTGTTTGTCTTCAAATATAGAGTTAAAGATCTTTAAAAAACTAAATTTTGATGCCTTTGAAAAGAAAGAAGCACAAAATAACAACAGGGGGTTATTGCCTGCAAGCCACAGGGGAGAAACTCCATAATTCTTATTCTCCCTTTTGAAGGCTGTTAGAAATCTGATTCAAAAAAGCAACAGCAGAAGGGGAAACCTCTTGAGGCTGTAACCATTTCCTGTGATCATGCATAATGTGCTTCAAAAGTGGGTTTTTACCAATTCTGTTGATCAATTGCACCTCCTTCATATCCCTTCTTTTTTCTGCTGTGTTTACATCTGATGTGACTCAATGACAAGCACTGTCTGAGACTGTGAAACAGGCCTGTCATGTTGATTTATGGGCGCATCAAACCACAACTTGTCCAAACTGAAGCTCGCAGTTCATTAATTAGAGAGTTGTGACTTTGAAGTCAGCTTTCAGACTGTGGTTTTTAACATTTGGCTTAATTTATATGCTCTTGAATGTGGATCTCTAAGGAAAAAAACTGAAATTCCCTTCTTGTCTTTGAACTTCTTTTGACCGCACAATAATCATTTCTTTGTCCAGAGTGATGCCTGCAATCCCAGAGTCATTAACGCGCATTGAACTGCCACTGATGAGTAAGCCCTGCTGAATTAGAAAAACAGCCAGCAAAACAAAGCTGAGAGCCTTCTGCACAGTGATATCTCACAATTACATGCCTTCCCTCCCTGTGCCATTTCCATTTTAATTACTGTTAGTCCTTTAGATTTACATTTTAGACACTTTTTAATCTGTTCCCTTTTTATTATAGAAGCACCCGGTAGTGCGCCACTGTACTTAAGGTTGTGTCAGCATTTTCATTAAAACCCCTTCTCTGCTTCACCCCAAAACTGCCCCTACTCTGCAGGGGTTTACAAGCAGGCTGCTCAACAGGACTCCAGGGTAAAAAACTTGGCAGAGCATGGAAACGGGTCCAGTTTGCATAGGTGGAGGAGCCAGCCCAGAGAGAAAGTCTAGGTCACTCCCCAACTGGAGAATTAGCACTGCCTGGCATCCTCATTCATGTGAGACTCAGGGACATGGAGAGGCATCTGCTGAGACTTTTTCCACAGGAAGCAAAGTGGCTGACTGCTTAGGGCAGTGAAGAAGCCATGAAAGAAAATGATGGGCAGTTTATAGAGCTGTGAGGACTCTGCACTGGAGGACAGATGTGGTAAGAAGGTATGCATGCTTGTGAGTGCTTCACAGGAGGGCACTCTTCACCCACATGGTCCTGCACAGAAGGTGAAGTGGAAGCTCCCAGGGAGACCTCATCAGGTAGGGGACTCATACTGTCAACTGGTTGGGCAGTGTGGCAAAATGCAGACTTAAGAACCCTATAAAGTATTGAGTAAAGAGAAGCTATTAAAATGTACTAGTGTTTGTCAGAAGAACACAACCCATGCCAGGGTCTCCCATAACTTCACCTCCTGCCATCTAATGCATTCCTTCAGCAATGGCCCTAGGTACAAGGTGTAGGACGGGATGTGTAATCTTGTTCTAGCTTTCTCTTGTCCAACCTCACAAGAAAGGCTATTCCTTCAACAGAAAGGCCATAACTGCACACCCAAAATCTCTAGGCTAGAAATAAAAATTATATGGGTATCCTAGTAAAACATTACTGAGACCACTTCCGCTCCCCAGTTCCATTCACAGTGGGACTAGTATGGAATGGGCCCGAGATGTCCTGCCCATGGTCTTGCAGGCACTGTTCACACAAGTACACATGCAGTGATGGTATAAAATATGTGGCAGCAAGCAAATGGAACCCAGAAAAGTCGGAGGAAAAACAGGACAATAACTCTCGGTCTGAAAGCTGAGAACTGATAGAGTCAGCTCAGTTGTGCAATCATTTAAAAGATGAATGACAGTTTAATAGCCACTAGATAGTCCTCTGGGATCTGTGGTTTGAAAGTAAAATATGTATTGTCGGTACCTCTTTAGGCTGTTTTCCAGCATGTTGTTGTTGTAAAAGTTGAAGCTGCAACTGTTCTTGTTGTTTTTTATAAAACTCTTGAAGCTGCTGCTACAAAGAAAAGAGAGGACCGTAAGTAACCAAGGGCAGCACCGATCCACTGTCCCTTTTGGTGTCATACACAAACTGTGATTTGAAAAATAGCACCCTTTTATCTGTGATGGCCTGACCTTTAGTTTGAAACTCAACAATAAATTCTGCACACGCTGACTATTCTTGGCATTATTGTTTGAGAAGTAGTCTCCAAAATGAACTGATGAAAAACATACCATTTTCTACACAAACTAATTAAAATAAGGCAAAGCATGACCTCTGACTATACCACAAAGCTGAACTGGCCTTGCTGAGAGGCTAGTGAGGCTCCACCGCATGCTGCCTAGGCTGCCAGAGGCGGGCAGAGCAGAGTGCCGGCGCACGTGTGCGATGCTGGGTGGGCCAGGGCCTCTTGTCCCCTACCACAGTCCCAAGAATCTCATCTGGTGGGGTCATATGACCAGGTCTACATATTTGGTCCCCATGATATAGTGACAGCCAGAAGTTTATTACAACATGAGGATATACTGAAGGAGCAAAATCAACTCTGCACCTTGAAATTAACTAACTCCAAAATGCTTCTTTATGTTATGGGAAAAAAAATTCTGTAAGCTTCTAAGTTGAAATGGCGACTTCAAGAGCTGTCATATTTAAACCTGCTCCCAATGTGCTCCTCGTTTTGCTTTGATTCACACCATTTAGAAGCCTCTGGGCTTACCAAATAAAAGAGTGTAAAGCCATGTAAGCCTAAAAGATCTTTTTCTACCAAGTCCAATTACAGCTCTAATCTCAGGCCGTCGGGTGCTCTCTGGGCCAAACCCTGGCCACTCCGGCAGGGAGGCTCCCACCCTGAAGAGATGCAATGTGATTCATTACTCAGGCCTGGACTGTGCTCTGCTATGTTCACCTTGCCCAGCTGGTTCTTCAGTGTCAAAACAGCTGCTCAGGGGACAGGAACTATGCTTGGGGTCCTGGGGATCTGGGTCAGGGGCAGGAGTGGAGAAAAGGACGATTACCTGTTGAAGCATGAGGGCCTGCTGCTGCTGGAGGAGAACCTGAAGCTGCTGAGGGCTCAGCACTTGCTGCTGGAGGATCTGCTGCATTTGCTGGGGAGTGATAACTTGAGGTGTCATCATAGCCACTGACACGGGAACCTGGAATATTAAGGAAAGATGAATAGGAAGCCAGGAGATCCTAAGCCTCTAGGTCGTGAAACTGCCTGCCATTGGTCTGCTTAGAGAATGAACCAATTTCCTATGCAAAATGTATTTACCCACAGGGATGGAGAGAGAAATCTTATGTTACCTATTATGGAAACATCACCATCATCATCATCATCATCATCATCATCATCATCATCATCATCATCACCATCACCACTACTACTACTGTTATTTTGAGGTACTAGAAATGGAACCCAAAGCCTTACCCATCCTAGGTAAGTGGACTACCACTGAGCTTTTTCTTTCATATAAAGAACAAGAAAACAAAACCCTGCAGCCCTGACTGAGATTCCAAGCAGTCTAGCAAGCCGACCAGGAGGAAGTACTCAATAAAATGCTATCTAGATTTAGGATATAGCTATTTTAATTCCTTATTAGGAACAGGTCTTTGGTCCAAATGAGCTGCGAGACATTAGTCCAAACTTGAAAGCAAATAGGAACCAGTATCTCTGGAGGTGGAGCTAACAAGGCCTGCTTCCATTGTGCACAGTGATTTGAAGAACAATCAAGGAGTCTCAGGGTTGTGTGAGGGAACCTTGGGTGTACCTTTGAACTTAAACACAGACCCTTCAGATGATGCCTTTTACCCTTCCTTCTTTGCCAAGCATACAGATGTCTCAATTCTTTCATATTATGCGCGATACCATTAAAAGGCGCTTTCTATGACATTTCGGTGACAAACAGCTACAGTGATGAACTTGATAGCATTTCATATTTGCAACTGTTAACACGTTTCTGCACGGGCATCTTTGCAAGGAACCTGCACACTGTATCTGAAAGGATGATGTCTTGTTCAGATAAAACACTGACATTAAAATGACAGGCTGTCTTGGCCAAGGTTACACAAATTGTATTCAAGCGGATACCTAATGACAATGCTATGAATTCTGCAAGCTTTCTAGAATGTAATTTAGCTATTCAAAATAATCACTGCACTTGTGTTTAATTTGCAGACTACATGAGAACCATTTTGTCAGTCCCCGTAATGCAAGAAGACTATTTCATGAAAAATCACCCCCCCCCAAATAAAAAGATAAGGAAAGAAAAAAAACAATGAAAGAGAAGACAAAACCCGCATGTCTTCTCAGAGTAATATTTAAGCATCTTACTTTTCTTTGGTTTCTAATCAAACAAGTGACAGCAAGAAGCTAGAAGGAGTAAAGGATATACTTTGTTAAAAAGGATCTGCTGTCATCTCATGTATTACAATAAAAGGTAATAACATGTTTTGCACTTTGCCTGTGTGCCACTTTTTAAAAAATCCAGCAGACAATAGCTGATCAGAAGATAAAAGAATTAAAAAATCTTTCATGGGAACAGTAAGCAAAAGGGAGAAATGCAGTATTAATTTTATGTAACATAATGTCTTAATATGCAGTTTATCTTGACTTTTTCACATGATTTGTCCTGTCATTTGCATAGCAAGCTCTCATTCCTAATTTCACAGTCATTATGCACTGATGTCCCGATTTCTCAGCATCACTAATTTTGATGAACTAAAAATGGTTCCTGAAGGTCAGATTCATGTACAGTGAACATTCTCCACTGTTGTGGGTATATTTCGTGTGTAGGGAATATTGATGTGCAAGTTTCACATGTTTAGAAAACACCAGCTACAACATTCAAAAAAATTCATTAACCCAACTCTGGAAGGCCATCCATGAATTCTTCCTATTGCAGTGGCTTTTTAAAAGTAGATGTAGATACACTGTAATTTAAAACAGATGGGCATGTCAGAGTATTTTTATACATAAGAAGGGACAGATGCATATGAATGGATAAATTATCTTTTTAAAAAGACACTATAATTCATAGCATGAAATATCACCAATGATTGGAACAATGAACTCCCATTCAGTTGAAGACCTTATCAGAACATCTAACCATCTACAAATTAATTCCAATTAGCCAACTTTATCTTAGTAGAAAAAGTTTTTGAATTTTTAAGTATGTGTTTGTTAGATGCCAATCACTATCTTTTGAGCTATTAAAGCCAATGTATCACAATAGAAGTTTACTTTTCCTTGAGAGTTGCATCATCATTTGGGGAGGTTTGATTAAGCAAACAAAAGAACCATGTTTAAGATTTCTTTTTTCCTCTGCGTTTCTTGGACGATGTACAATACAAATATTCTTGAGCCAAATTTCTGATGGTGATGAACAGGAAAACAGACAGGAATAGGGTGGTGTAAAATCTAAACGGGTAATGAACATGAACTTAACAAAGTTTTAGGAGAAATCAGCACAGAAATAATCCCCACTGTAATTTTTAAAGAGCTAGAGAAATCTTATGTGAGACAGGGACACAATTGTGAACTTTTGGGGGTGATGCAAATGCCAGCCAACATTTTGAAAAAGGCAGCAGTCACATAGATGTATATGCACACAACTGTCAAAACTTAGATTCCAACTATACATTTAAAAATGTACTTCATAGTATGTAAACCTCAAAAATGGTTGGATTTATTTTACACACACCCACAAACATATATACTCTCATTAAAATAAAACAAAAAACCTGGGGCTGGGGAGATGACTCAGTGGAATAAGTGCTTCCCTGGCAAGTGCAAGGGCCTGAGTTCAATCCCCGGTTCCAACAAAAAATAAATAAATAAATATAAATAAATAAAAAATAAAAACCCTGGTAAAGTTATATCTTGTTAAATGAGAAATATTATCTTTTGACTATCGCAAAAATAAGGACTGAAATACATATAATCTACAAGCTCTTATAGATAGCCAATGGTTTACATCTCCTTCTTCTACAGTTATTGATTCATTTTTTGTGCAGTTGTGCAACAGAACAGTAGAACCAACTTTAGTCCTTCCTGCTTTTCTTCCTTGGACATGGTGATGGAAGGTGCTGATGAGTAATAAAATGCTCAAAGCAGCAGATGCAGTCCAGGGAGACGGGGAGCAAGGAGCCTGAGTAATCCTCCAAACTGGCTGATCAGTCTCTGAATAATCAGAAGTGGGCCATTATATCCTGATGGCCTGAACTTTGCTTTTACTATCTGAAACCACATTTTCACACTACTTAGCTCTGAGCCCCCAAAGTAGGCTCAAGCTTAAATTTATAAATGCAATAAAATTGAGATATCTCTAAACTTTCTGCTCCAACATGTCAGAAAAAGAGGTTACGGAAAGCCTTAACAAACATATTCAAATGAACCAGAACCCAGGGTGAAGTAGGAGGAGGAAGGGGAAGACTGGAACACAGTTTAAGGCTTCAAATAGTTAAGAATTATGGCCTATATATCTACTCCCTTAAATCCCAGTGTCCAACTTTCTCATGTAGCTAGTCCCTACTAATACAAGGAATCAAAGGGCATGCAGTACCAGCGATGGGCTATTACAGCCCACACTTTATTGCCCATTACTACTGAGGTCATTAGCGGCAAGAGTGATTGTAGCAGTCTTAACCTATTGATCACTGTAACTACTATCATTTAATCCTGTGTTGAATGTCTGGAAAGCAGCTAAAGGCACACAAGAGAGAGTGTTTTAGCATGGAGAAATATGGCCAAAGCTTAGAAATTACACTTTGATTCATAAAATCTAGCCAGTGGTTTAAATCAATAGTATTTAAAACAGTCATGTGAGTTTTTAACTACAGCAGTCTAATATTTATGAGCCCCTCTTTGAGAGTATTCAGTGAAAACGAAACTCTCCCCTCCACAATCCCAATACCATGCCATCTACCTTACCCTCCTTGCGATAAAAAATATTCATTTCTGATGTATTGTGTAGCTACAGGGCTCATGCCTTCTCTGGGAGTTCAAGCTAATTCTTGATTTCTTTCTCATAAGACAATTTCAATATAAGGAAAAAAAGAATTACATCCCTGATACTGTAACTACCTTAACTGTTTGAGTACGCAGAAATGAGTATGTTTTATGAGTTAACAATGAATCATAAAAGGCAATTTATGAAGAACTAGAATGATTCTGTCTAGCTGCCTTCAGGGATCAGAAATTCAAATTAAACTTCTGGCAGACATTTAAAGAATGCTAGCATACAAAACCAAATTTAAAAACACACACACGCGCGCACACACACACACACACACACACACAGAGTTAACACTCTTTAGCTGAGTTTCAAGAGGAAATCATGAATTTAAAAAAACACATGCTGTTGACTGATACCAACTGGGTGTGGCTGATCCCAGGTGCACAGAAACCTGTGGGAAGGGCAAAAATACAGCTGTGCTCGGGCCATCCGAAGGTGCTAGTAGGGACCTGCTGCTGCCTGACACCAGCAGGGCAGCATCCTGCACATTGAGAGTTGCTGTTAAAATCCAATGCACTGTTCCGGACGCAGTTTAGTTTTTCTCCAAAATGATGCTACATCACCTGAACCCTTGAGGACTGTTCAGATGCCATGCTTTATGATTTTGTTTTATTTTCACTAAGGAAAGGTAAGGAATGGGAGGAGGAATGTGAAGAGTAGACAAACAAATAAAAACAGAGAAACAATACTTCCTTCTCATCTAGGAGACAATTGAAGGAATTGGGTAGGAGACAAGATGGCACAATATAAATACTGAAAATAACATGTACCCCTCCATTTAGTTTATATTCAGGGTAACTATACATAAATACTGCCCAGTATAAATATACACAGATTTTACACAGCATCATTTTTTCACATTTGCTAAGTGTACGAATAAAACTAAGAAGACAATATAATTTCACTATTTCTTTATTTCCATTGAATTTATTTCCAAAAAATTTGAAAGCTATTCTTAACCTCTGATCATTCAGCCCTTGTATGTCCCAGTAAACTCACTTTCCTTCTGGACTTCAGGCTGTGTTTGGGTGATAACTAATCAGGTTAGGCAGTGTCACCTAGTTAATTGCATAACCAGAGCAAAACAAATTAAATAAAAAGGATCCAGGGTGTCAAAACAAAACCAAACAAAGAAAATG